TTAGACCGAATGTTTGCTGGGTTGTAACACCCTCTATACTACTGTCCTCACTATAACATTCTATCTTCAAACAGCAATGTTTGAGAATGCTGGGTTAATACTCTGACAAAGCTGTTAAAGCAATTTAATGAAGCTTTTGACATTCAAAGTTTTTTTTTTTCAACACGCCAAATTGAATTAGTTTGCTCGACATATCGAACACGATTAATCAAACGAAAATGTACCTGAACGATTTACAATGTGTTATATAAAAAATGTTATATAAAACGCTATAAATTTACGGAGCTGGCGCAAATAGGTGAGAGGTGGGGGGGGGGGTTCATAAGTTGATTTTTTAATTTACGATTGGGGAAGAGGGGGGGGGGGTGAGGCGATGCATAACTTATTTTTTAATTTACGATTATTATACTTACAATGTCTTTACATTACTAATGCGAAAAAGTTAATAACAAACAAACAAAAATCATTAAATTAATTAGATCGTTTAATATATTATCAATCGTAAATCGTTAATGACTTTTTAATAAGATACATAAATATTGCTCATTTTAAAATTTGATATCATTCAAATTTTGCACACATATCAGAGAACATTTTTTACAACAATCTTTTATTTATAATCTACAATCATCAAGGTAGACTTTTTTTTTAAATATTTCTTTTTGATCTATGATGTAAGATTATGATTAAATACATACTTACTTATTCTTATATAAATACATATTTAAACCTATACTTAGATGGATAGACATTTTATTTTATATTATCTATTTAGATTGATTGATAGGTTGATAGATATATAGATAGATTCAGAGCCGTTCTTAGAGTGGCGCGAGTGGAGCAGCCGCTCCAGGCCTCGCGCAGCGAGGCTATACTAAACACAAGCAATCAAAACTTTTATTTATTGTTAACGAGAGTAAGGCCTCGCGCAGCAATTCCATACTCTTGTTAAAAAATAAAAGCCGTTACTGTCGTTAAAAAATAAGAAAAAGTTTTGGATAAACAAAAATAATATAACAATAATATACGTGGACCAGTTATCATTGGTTATGCGATTTGTATAAATTAAAATGAATGCAACTTCTCTTAAGAGTGAAAATAAAGATGTAAGCATCGAAGAACATTTCCTTGGATTCTTAGACGTTAAATCAACAACGGGAAAAAATCTAACTGATATTCTTTTACAAGAGTTGAATGAAATTGTAAAGCAGGGACTGAAGCGGACAATGGTATGACAACAGTTCCAATATAAAAAGTATTCACTCTTGAGTACAGGAACGAATCTTAGAAATAAATCCAAAAGCATTTTACGTGCCCTGCGCTAACCATAGCCTCAACTTCCTAGTTTGGGACGCAGCAAAATGATTATCTAAATCTATGACGTTTTTTGGAGTTGTGCAAAGAATTTATGTACTTTTTTCTTTGCCAAAAATGCAATGGCAAATTTTCATTCAAAACGTACTAAATCTGGCTGTAAAAAGGTCCTGTGACACAAGTTGGAAAAGTAAACTAGAAAGCGTAAAAGCGCTTCGATATCAAAGTTAATACTGCATTGAGTTGAACTAGTTGAGTTCACTAAGGATCCAAAAAAAAAAAGCCAATAGTGAAACACCATCAGTTATGAATGAAATAAGTTATGATTAAAAAGGCCTACAGACTCAAAAAAATCATCTTGAAGTTGCGTTGCAGTTACTTCAAAGGCTAGTTCAGTTTTTTTCAGAAATTTAGATTTAGGTTTCGTGGTGGCAACATTGTTAGCAAGAGAACCAAGTGAAACTCCTGGTTAGAGACAAATTTTAAAGAAACCAAGCAGAGAAAGAAAAGAAGAATGTTTGAGTACGTGGGAGATCCTATGACAGGATCTGCCAAGCAAATGTTTAAAGTGGAGAGTGGAGTATTTTTTGTTATTGCCGAACGTTTGAACAAATAACTAATTACGATACTGTGTTTGGATTTTTAAATCAAGTAAAAAAACGATAGGTACTAAAAGAAGATAAATTATTTAAAAGGTGTAAAGACCTAGAATCGTTTCTTATTTTTAAAAAAGAAAAGAATGTTTGTGGAAATGTCTATTTCTCTGAACTTAAGGTTCTTTGAGAACTTCTACCGGCTGAGGTGGAAACAACTGCAAGGATTTTGAGGTTTATTTACCAAATTCAAAACCCATTTCCGAATGTATTTATAACGTATAGAATTTTACTGACTATACCTGTAACTGTAACAAGCGCAGAAGGAGCTTTTCACGCTTTAAACTTATTAAGACATAAGTAAGTTCGTCCATGGGTCAAGATAGGCTATCAATTGTGACATCTAAGTTTTCATCTTTTTGAAGCAATTTTAAAATTATCTAACCCTGGACATTTATTTTACAGTATTAATAACACTGTATTATTTTATTATAAATATTTGCCAGTATTCTATTATAAAATTAATGTCTATCATTTTACAATGTGAACACTTATTATATAACATCTACCTACCTATGAACACCCTTCATATCGATTGCTGAAAACATAATATATGCGAATAAGATTACTATTTTGTAAAAATATGTTATATTATTTGTTACTGATTATTCAATAATAACTCAAAAAATGGAAAATTTATTTGTAATTCTAATTCATTTATTTCTCGTCAGACAAAAATTATTATTCATTTTACATTATTTAGCCTTTAATAACTTTAAAAATAAACTTTATTGTTATTATTCTAGATTATTTTATAAAGCACTCAATCCTTTTTATAAACATACACGAAAGTAAAAACTCAAAATTATATCAAACCGAAATTTATGTTTTGCACTTATACAACCTCTTTCCAGACAGTAAGAGAAAAGGTTTTTCTTCGTCAAAGCGCCTAAAATGATGACTCTCAAGGAGACTTCGCAAAAATGTTTTGCTCCAGGCTTCGCATTTTCTAAAGACGGCTCTGGATAGATTCATAGATAGATTGTTGGATGTATGATATTGTTTAATTTTTTTTTACACATAGATGCAAAAAGTTTCTTTACTTTGGGATTACTTCACCGAGATCAATAAAAACAGGGCTAACTGCATTGAATGTGGTGAGGATTACAAAGTGCTTAGTGGGAGCACAACAGGGATGAGAGGTCATCTTAGTATAAAGCACAAAACCAGCTTTAAAACACTAAAAGCCAGAAATCAACAGCTGCAACTGTTGAAACAAACTCTAACTCTGGTAATGATTATAGATGGACCTTCTTTTATTGCAGTACCATTAGGACCCCAGCTAGAAAGAAGTCAAAAAAAGAGAAATTTTTGTCGACGAAACACCAACAAATAACAACGAATATTCAACAATAGCCTAAAGTCTATAAATGACAACAAACAGAAGAAAATTGTTACTGCTATGAAACAGTGTCTAGTTGCAAGTGTCATGTTGTCTTTTGATGTAATAGACAACAATGATTTTAAATACTTTGTAAAAGTATGTACAAAAGGACAGTATAAGCCAATTTGTTTGTAATTTTCTCGTACCAAATTTCCGGATTTGTACTATACAATGAAGGTAGCAGTTGATAAAAACATTTAATAAAGACAAACCTCATCCAGATGAAATATCATTTACGTTTTATCTGTAGAACAGCAAGACCATCAACGCAGCATATGTTGTTATGACTGTGCACTACATTGATTTGGATTTTCAAACCAACCGTTTCTTGGTTGCTTTAAGTTCTTTTAAGAACAGAAAACGAAGTCTTTATAGTTCATGCAATTCTAAAACTCTTTGATCTGGAAGACGAGTTATAGTCAATATCACACGATCAACCCAATCCCATTTAAAAGAGGTTGCTGATCGTTATTGAAAACAATTGCCAGATTTCCCGAATGTGGAGCTAAGGTTTTAGAATATGCATATGCAAAAATTTTCGACCCACGTTGCAAAGGATAAAAGTTCTATGACATTGGGCAAAGGTATAACATAAAAATCTTTGGAACAACAAGATAAGTTTTCTGAAGAAAGCTGTGTTTAGCATGTGCTAGGTCAATCTTAGGAGAATCCCCTCACCCAACACATCACAATCCCTCGTTGATAGCGCACATCAAGACACAATGACACAAACACAGCCACAAGAAAACACAACAACAGGATACTTAAAAAGGTCTTGCAAGGTCTTGGTAGATAGCCCGGAAGAGAGAACCTCCTTGATTACGAAAACCAAGGTGTAGTTAGAAAACTATTTAATAACAACACCAAATGCCAATAATGGCGATATACTTTGTTGCTTGAAGAACCAAACATTTAAGTACTCAAACTTCAGCTTCCTCCAGCTCTGAATGAGTGTTTTCCATAGCTGGAAATATCTGTGGTGATAGGAGAATAAATCTCTCAGCATCCAAAGTTAAAAAACCTGTTTGTATTAAAGAGAACTTAAGACAGATGAAGAAAATAAATGATGTGCCTTTTAAAATAAAGTTTTGAATTTGAGTCTAGCTGATTTATATTTTATTTTTATTCTTTCGATGTATTGTTTCACTCAGAAGGTTTTTCGATGCATTCATTAACAATATGCGTTTCGATTTATCTTTAATGATGCATTGAACACGATGCAATGACCATATTTAACGATGAACGATGTATTGTCAATGTATCGCTCGTTAGTATGTACAAGTATATAAGAGTTTTTAAAATCAAATGTACCCAATTATGTTAACTTATTTAATTCATTTAGCAATAACTAAGTACATGTAAAATACATTAACTGTATTAAAAAATATTTACTGGAATAATGCTAGTAGTTAAACATCAAATAAACATAAAAAATAATTATTGCGATTAACGACATAACATTTTTGAAATCGTCCATATATATATATATTGGAAATATTATTTTATTTCCATCACAGCCTGTTATGTAACGTTCTTTTGTTTTAGGATATTGTTTATTAGGTAGATATAATCAATACCGTGTGATCTGTTACATACCTTTAGGCGTTACAACCGACAGACACAGTAACGCGATCCAGTTAATCTTATTGAAAAAAGTTAAAAGGTTTATTTATACATTCAATTTAAAACATATAAACTTATTTTTTCAAAAGAAAAATTTCTATATAAGGACACACGACGTTGTTGTCAATTAAGAAAAAAATAGCATCCGATAAACACACCAACTTATTATTAATTCAATGGATGCCTTCAAAATAAGCATCAAAATAACGTTCTGAAATATGGTAATGAATATTTAAACGAATATCAAATTTCTTTTCACTCTTCGCAATTGAAAAATGACTTCAAGTTATAAAAAGCAGCTTCTTTATATATGCTATCATTACTTGACAAATAATGTAAATAAAAAAAAAGTGTGATTCATTTAAACTATGAATTTATATGAGATAATGTTGCTGTAACCGCTATCTACAAAAAGATTTTAATGAAAAATTACAGGTGTATTTTTTAATGATACCAAGTTTAGCAAAATTTCACAAAAAGTTCTTTAATCAGTAATGCCCTTACCATATATATTTTTTATTGTTTCTATCTATAATGAGGTTTATGGTAGTATAGAAGATTTGCCTCTAATATACCGTGGAGCATGTATAAGCAATCCTTGTTTAAATAATGGTTTGTGCACCATAACTCCAAATGGTTTTCTTTGTACATGTGTTGGTGGCTACATAGGTGTCCAATGTGAGAAACGTGCAGACGAGTGTCCTGATGATAACAGAGTTTCCTGTGAGCATGGTGATTGTCGTCTTGATTTAAGTGCTCAACCAAGATGCATGTGCAATGATGGTTATCAAGGTTTAAACTGTGATGAAAAAATTGACAGTTGCATCTCAAACCCATGTTTTAACAATGGGACATGTATAAGTAAAACAATTGGCTATGAGTGCCAATGTCTTTCAGATACTTATGGAGTTCAGTGTCAAATTAAAAAAGAAAATATTTTAAAATGTGTTTCATCTTGTGATGGTTTTGCTAATGATGGCAGATGCTGGCATGAAACCGCAAAAGATGTTATTGTGGGCTGGGGATATGGTGATTATATATGCAATACTAAAAAAACCTGTTTTAATCTCTCATCTAGTACATCTGATAAGCATGATTATATTGAAGTTCAACTGAAACCTATTCACATGCAGAATTCAGATGAATTAGTATTTGTTACAGATATTGATTCTGAGCTCTATGGATATAATTTTATCCCTCATATACTACCATTAGAGACTGATTCAGAACTAGCTTTTAAAAGTTGTAATATTACAAATGCTCAGCCAATAACAAATATTCAAAATGTTAACTCTAAATTAAATGTAAATGCAAGTCTTCTTGTAATTGGAACACAGTATTTTATTGCAGATTTTAATGAAATTCATAGATGTGTTTTAGGCCTACGGCTAAATGTCACGGTTAAAGATAAAGATTGTCACGATCCTTCAAATTTAACAGGATTAATGTGCAATGGCAGAGGAAAATGTTATAGTGATTTTAATATGAGGTCATTTGAGTGCTTGTGCTGTGAGGGATTTGTTGGAAAATATTGTCAGTATGAAGATCTATGTTTCACAAATCCGTGCAAACATGGAGTGTGCAAGCTGGAAGGTAAGATGTATTTTAATTTTAAAAGTAATAGTTTTGGTAATTTAGATTTACTGAGGATTTGAGTTAGGAACAGATAGTAAGTGACCAGGGCCCCAGCTAAAAATGAGACTTTTTGCAAACCCAGTCCCGGCAAAGTTATAAGATTTAGCAGGGGTTGATAGCCAGACCTAAAAAAAATTATAATACTTAATATATTATAATTTTATGCTTACATTTACTATTTATTAAATACTTGCATACATTTATATATTTTTAAACTCTAATTTATTTCCAACAAGATTGCAAGCAACCACTATTAAGTTATGAGTTACTTTAAAATAGAGAATAAGTTAAGAATTGAACTGAACTGAAGAATTAAAAAGTTGTAAATTGTATAAAAAAAGAAAACTTAAAGATGGGTAAGAGTTATAAGGTTTTTTTGATGTTCAAGGAAAAAAAACTGGATTAATAAAAGTTTTTTAGCATGAAAGGACAGATACAGTAAAAGGATGCAACTTGTTGAATAAAAAGCCAAACAAGAATGAGTTTTATTGTAATAGAGATGATAGCTTGTTTGAGCATTTGCCATGATTGTATTTTGCAGAAAAAAGAAAGAAATGCCACCTTACAACAATGGGAGAGTGGCTCAAGCTTGGCAGGTAAAGCAGGTTTAATTACATTTACAATGTGCTTTTAGACTTTATCTGAGAGTAAGGGGGTTGTTATTCATCAATATAGGAAGGCCAATAATATTGCAATGTTTTTTTGCAGTAAATAAATGAGTTTTGTTGTCTAACAAAATTGCAGATTTTAAGTCCAGAATTTTAATCCATAAGCCACTGCAAGCCTTAGGCTGTTACAGAAGAGAGATATAAAATCGGCTGCTTGTTCTAAGCAATTAAAAAGTGAAGATTTTTAGTCAAGACAAGAATATAAAGTTGAGTCATCAGCAAATAGAGCTACTTTAGATTTCATAAAGATTGTTGTTATAGATAAGAAACAATACAGGAGCAAAGATAGAACCTTGTGGTACCTTAAAGTTACTTGAGATAAAGAAGAGGGTAGGCCTTTAAGAATAACTTTACTACTGCAGTTAAAAAGAAATAGTTTAATAACCTCAAAACCTTTATATAAAGAAACTAATAACAGAGTGCAGACTAATCGTAGGATAGTTGGAGAGGTCAAAGTGTTTTCTAGAGTTTTGAAAAATTGGAACCACTTATTTAGCACTTTTTAAAAGTTTAGCAAAAATTGAAGACAACACTTTTTTAAGACTTATTTAAGAGAACACTTATTTAAGACTATTATGTAAATCTATTCTGGAACACCACTTGTAGAAGTATTTAATTTTAGCATTGAAAATCAGAGTTTTAATCTGTTTAACTTTCAGGAAAAGTATGGCCATTATATTCAAGAATCTAAATAAAGTAAGATAAGATATTAAATATTAGACTTTCTTTAATAAGATAATAAATATTAGACTTTCTTTAGTTTTTACCAAAAGTCTCTAGAGATATTAGTCTCATAAGATATTTATCTCTAGAGACTTTTAGTTTTTACCAAAAGTCTCTAGAGATATTAGTCTCATAAGATATTAAATATTAGACTTTTTTTAGTTTTTACCAAAAGTCTCTAGAGATATTAGTCTCATAAGATATTAAATATTAGACTTTCTTTAGTTTTTACCAAAAGTCTCAGAGATATTAGTCTCATAAGATATTAAATATTAGACTTTCTTTAGTTTTTACCAAAAGTCTCAGAGATATTAGTCTCATAAGATATTAAATATTAGACTTTCTTTAGTTTTTACCAAAAGTCTCTAGAGATATTAGTCTCATAAGATATTAAATATTAGACTTTCTTTAGTTTTTACCAAAAGTCTCTAGAGATATTAGTCTCATAAGATATTAAATATTAGACTTTCTTTAGTTTTTACCAAAAGTCTCAGAGATATTAGTCTCATAAGATATTAAATATTAGACTTTCTTTAGTTTTTACCAAAAGTCTCTAGAGATATTAGTCTCATAAGATATTAAATATTAGACTTTCTTTAGTTTTTACCAAAAGTCTCAGAGATATTAGTCTCATAAGATATTAAATATTAGACTTTCTTTAGTTTTTACCAAAAGTCTCTAGAGATATTAGTCTCATAAGATATTAAATATTAGACTTTCTTTAGTTTTTACCAAAAGTCTCAGAGATATTAGTCTCATAAGATATTAAATATTAGACTTTCTTTAGTTTTTACCAAAAGTCTCTAGAGTCTAACATCTGAGATAAGATACTTTGGCATTTTTTTTCAATTTTTCTTGTGAAATTTCATTCTGCGTGACTTCAATAGATTTTTGTACTCACCAATGTTTTTGAAAGGTTAACATTTTTTATTTGGACTTTAATTAAATTTTTAAAAGTTAAACATCTAAGATAAAGATTTAGTAAAATGAGAATAACAGAGCTTTGGTATTTATATGGTTTAGTATTTGCCGAAAGAGAAGATGATCAGATGGATGTGTGGTGTTACTCTAGCAAGACAAGAAAAGGAGGCATAATCTTAGACAAATTATAAAAAATGTTGTATGGAACAAGGTTTGTTAGAAAAGATTAAACTAATTTAGGTATCAGCATGTAGAGAGGTAGCATCTTCAGTAGAAAATGGTAGTGGTAGAAGAAGAAAACTTGAAGAAAGTGCCTTACATATTGTATGAATGAGTTTTAGTTAAGAAAAAAAAATGTTCTAGGTTATATAAGAGAAACAGCATAAAAGAGGAAGGCTAAAGCCTGATAATGATGATGATGATGGTGATGATGATGATGATGATGATTATGATGATAATGATGATCATCATCATAAAGATGATCATCATCATGGTCATCATCATCCGGCTTTAACCTTCATCTTTTATGCTGTTGATGATGATGATGATCATCATCGTTGATTATGATGATGATCATCATCATCATGATGATAATAATGATGATGATCATAATAATGATGATTATGATAATCATGTTGATCATAATGATGTTTTTATATGCATATATATACAAAATATAACATGAATTTTAAATAAAGATAATATACTTTAGGATGTATAAATGTTTATGCAGCTCCGGTCACAAACCCGGCCCCAGCTATATATATATATATATTTTTTATTTGCATTTACTCCCAACAAGGCTGCAAGCAACCACTATTAAGTTGGGAGTTACTAGAAAAAAAAAGAACAAAGTTATCTAGCAAGAAAACGGTTGACAGAAGACTTAAAAAGTTGAAGGTTGTATGAGTCAGGAAAACATGAAGATGGGAGAGAGTTCCAAAGAATTGAAGTGCGGGAAAAAAACTAGATGAATAAAAGTTTTTAGAGCATGCAGGGACAGATACAGTAAACGAATGAGACTTAGCTGAATGGCGAGTAAAACGAGAATGAATTTTAGTTGATGAAACTAGAGAAGATAACTCCTTTGAGTAGTGACCATGATAATATTTGTAGAAAAGAGAAAGAGATGCAACTTTACGACGATGGGAGAAAGGCTCAAGCTTAGCAGATAGTCCAGGTCCAACAACATTTACAATGCGTTTTTGGACCTTGTCAAGAAGAGAAAGTGAATCGTTAGAAGAACCTGCCCAAATATGACAGTATTCCATACAGGGACGAATAAGAGATTTGTAGAGGTAGAGAATGCTATCAGAAGTAAGGAAATGGCGAGCATGATAAAGAGAAGCAACCTTAGCAGAAGCTAATTTAGCAATCGATTGTATATATGGTTTCCATGAAAAGGTCAGTAGTAAGCAATAATCCAAGAAGATGTAAAGAGGAGAGCTCAGTAAGAGGATTGCCATTCATTAATATAGGAATGTTGACCATATTATGGTAGTTGTTTGCAGTAAACAACTGGGTTTTGTTAGAGTTGAAATTCACAAGCCACTGTGAACCCCAATCTATCACTGAAGTGAGATTGGATTCAAGATCAGCTGCTTGTTCTAGGCGATCGAAAAGAGAAAACTTTTTGTCAAGACAAGAGTATAAAGTTGAGTCATCAGCAAAATGAGCTACTTTAGATGAAAGGTTGTCAGGAAGATCGTTTATGTAGATAAGAAACAAAACAGGGCCCATGATGGAACCTTGGGGAACCCCAGAAGTTACTGGAAATAAAGAAGAGTGTTAGCCTTTAAGGATGACTTAAATAAACCGGTTAGAAAGAAATGATTTGATAATCCCAAAAACTTTCCCAGAAACACCATATGAAGCAAGCTTATGGAGAAGACCAGCATGCCAAACTTTGTCAAAAGCTTTAGATATGTCGAGAGCAATAGCCCTAGCCTCACCGCCTCCATCTAATGCACGATAAAATCTTTCAGTTACAGCAGTTAGCAAGTCGGCCGTAGAGCGAGAGGATCGAAAACCGTATTGATTGTCTGACAGCAGTTTATTTGACTCAAAATAAGATGTGAAGAATTTGTTGATCAAAGACTCAAAGACCTTGCTAATAACAGAAAGAAGACTGATCGGACGATAATGCGGTAGTGGTGTAGTGGTAAGAGCGCTCGCTTCGTAAGCGAGAGGTCCCACGAACCACGTTCCTGGAAGTACCGCGCTTAACTTAATCTCTCAGCGCAGCCGGCTTGCTTGTCAAGGTTCGTGTTTCGGAGTTAAAGAGTTGAGAAAGGGTTGTACCACAATTTTCAACAAAAAAAAAAAAAAAAAGTAGTCTCCTCGATTGTAGTGGCCCCCTCAGGCCTTGGGAGGTGCATAATTAAAAAAAAATAAAAATGGAGGGGTCAGAATTTTCTCCAGAGTTTTTGAATATTGGAACCACAGATGCCATTTTCCAACAGCAGGAAAACAAGACTCAGTCAAACACTTGTTAAATAGTTTAGAGAGAATTGATGAAAGTTCTGGAGAACAATTCTGCAAGACTGTGACAGGAATGTTGTCTGAACCACAAGCTGTAGACGAGTTTAATTGAGATATGACTTTAGCAACAGAAGGCAGAGTGATTTGAATGTCTAACAATGGGTC